GCCATCGTCAACCTTTGTACCTACAACAAGGACAAGAGATGGCAGGCCTGTGTGCCATATATGCAAAAAACCTGGACATTCAGCAACAGCCTGTTTTTCAGATCAAAAAATGCCCCAAACGGCCAGGGACAAAGTCGTTAGCTCCCCGACTAGTCCTATCAGCTAGGGGAGCACAAAATGATCAGTATAAAGTACTGACAATTAATGCTAAGGTAAATGGGACGCTGACAAATGTAATAATAGACACAGGCTCAGAGCAGGATATTATACGAAAAGATTTCGCAAAAAATATTAACACTCAACATGTTAAAAATCTACTTGCAGTAGGAAACATGAGAGTGCCAACAGAGGGCCTAGCCGAAACAAGTATTCAAATCGGTGACCTTCACACATCGTGCTCTGCAGCAGTGGTAACAAATTTGCCAGCTGCCCTTATTCTAGGAATTAAAACATTATTTAGGTTAGAAGCAATTATTAATCTTAAAGATAGTCAAATGTGGTTAAATTTAAATAATCAAAAATATGCAATAAATTTGTATCCTAATGCATATAATAGGCCAAACTCAAATACCGAATACCATACTGTAGCCCAAAACATGTCAGAAGTTGACACATATAAGAAAAGGTATCACGATGAATTTTTGAAACAAATGAAACCAATCCTAAAAACCATTAACAACAATAATAAAATTAATTCAGAACCAACACCAACTCCCATTGTCCTTTGCACAACCCCAACAGAAATTAGAGATACCCACCTTTGCACAACCCCAACAGAAATTAGAGATACCTACCTTTGTACAATCCCAGAAACAAATCCTTTGATAATAGATGACATTATCACCCCAAAAATTGCCCATAAAATAAAAGCAGCAAAAGACTAAATTTGCCAACCCCATAGCGAAACCTTAATCCAGATTATCCCAAGCCTTTTAAATAATATAGATACACAAACAATCCCTTTGGAGTACGACTACAAAAATATAATTCAGAGAGGCTTGTTATTAGAATTAAATTATAAATCTAAAAATACATTAACTACTCTAAATAATAATCAAACTACATTAGCTATTTTAAATAATAATAACTATCCAATAAAAATATATAAAAACAGTACGATAGGGCAACTTAAAGAAAGAGAGGCTTTAGGACAAGTCGACTGGTCATTCTTCACAAGAGAAGACCACGAACAAATAACATCCGAGGATTTTGATTGGTCACAAATGAGTGATCAGCAATTCAAAAGTAAATTAGAACACTTGGTTCTTAAATATAGCAATGTTTTCTCTAATTCTCTATCATCAATGGGGAAGACACACCTTGTAGAGCACAAAATTAAAGTAGAAAATGCTGTACCAATAAAAAGCCGTGCATATAGGGTGTCCCAAAAAGAAAGAGAAATTATAGACGAACAAATCCAAGAAATGTTAGATCATGACATAATATGTCCAAGCCACTCTCCTTGGGCCAGCCCTATAGTCCTGATTAAAAGAAAAGATAAGGTTAGATTCTGTATTGACTTTCGGAAACTTAATAGTGTTACACGAAAGTCAAATTACCCAATTCCTCAGATTGATGATATACTCACATATCTTCATGGAGCAAAGTATTTCAGTACTTTAGATATGTTTAGTGGTTTTTGGCAAATTCCAATGGAAGAAACCTCTAAACAATATACCTCATTTGTAGCCCAAGGACATGGTCAGTTTGAATGCAATGTCCTTCCCTTTGGGCTAACATGTGCACCAGCCACTTTCCAAAATTTAGCCGATGAAGTATTTCAAGGCATGAAATGGAAAGAAATACTAGTGTACTTAGACGATATAATTATATTTTCTAAAACTATGGAAGAACACCTAGAAAAACTAGAGAAAGTCTTCCAAAGGCTAAGAGAGGCAAATCTTACCTTGAAACCCGCTAAATGCTTATTTGCACAAACAAAAATAAATATTCTTGACTACACAGTTAGCGAAGAAGGTTTAACAGTAGATGAATCTAAATTATTAGCCGTTAAAGAATTTCCTACCCCGAAATCTGTAAAACAAATACAGAGTTTCGTTGGACTCTGTAATTACTACAGGAAATTCATAAATAATTTTGTGGTAATTGCCAGACCAAATTTTCTTGGGGTAAATCTCAACAAGAAACCTTAAAAGAAAAACTCCTAACGGCACCAGTTCTGCAGCATTACAACCCTAATTCTGAGTGTGAACTGAGAGTAGATGCGTCTAAGCTAGGTATAGGAGCAATTCTTCTCCAAGAAGGACAGGATAAACAATTGCATCCAGTCAGTTATATTAGCCGAAGCCTTTCAAAGGCCGAACAAAATTACAGTATTACTGAACTAGAAGGGTTAGCAGTAATCTGGGCATTGGGCTATCTAAGACATTTGGTCTATGGAAAACCCGTAAAAATATGGACTGATCATCACGCTCTCTGCTGGCTAAAGTCATTAAAAGACCCCACAGGTAGGCTTGCGAGGTGGAGTCTTAAACTATCTGAGTTTGACTATGAAATCAAACATAAAAGTGGAAGCTCGAATAAAGATGCAGACTGTCTATCGAGAAACCCTGTGCTGAAATGCCAAGAGAAAGATATCGATGAAAATAATGATATCCCAATATTCCTGCTGCAGGCAGAGGATATGGAAAAAGAACAACAAAATGACTCTGAGATAGTACAATTAAAAAACACTATTTTAGATCCTTCATCTTTTTCAATCGGCGAAAGACGAAGAGCAAAAAACTATAGACTTATTGACAACGTTTTGTATAAAGTAAATACTAATCCTGATGGAAAATCAGATTTACTGGTCATACCTAGGCATCTCATAGGAGAGATCTTGTTTTCTCATCATAATGAACCTACTGCAGGACATTTGGGAATAACAAAAACTCTAAATAAAATTAAAGCAAGGTACTATTGGTCAACACTATACAAAGACATTGAAAAATATGTCAAAGGTTGTAGTGATTGCCAGGCCAGAAAAGGACAGGAAACTATGAAACCCATAGGACTGTTGCAACCCATTCAAGTAGGAGTTCCATTTGAAAGGGTAGGCATCGACATTCTGGGCCCATTTCGCAAAAGTCGAAACGGGAAAACAGTAATAGTAGTTGCAACTGACTATGCCACTAGATGGGCTGAAACAATGGCCTTATCAAATGCAAAGTCAGCCCAAGTGGCCAAATTCATATTGAATTCAATCATTTGTAGGCATGGTAGTCCAAGATTCTTACTCAGTGACCAAGGAACAAATTTCAAATCCGAAATGGTCACTGAACTTACGAAAATGATGGGGACTGTAAGTCAGTTCACCACAGCATATCACCCAGCTACTAATGGTCTTACTGAAAGATTCAATAAAACCCTGGCGAATATGTTAGCGATGTATACAAATACCGAACATACAGACTGGGATGAATATCTCAGTTTGGTTACATTCGCATACAACTCGGCCAAACAAGACAGCACTAAGTACTCCCCATTTATGTTGGTATATGGGCGAGAACCGGTTCTGCCTACGGAAGCAAGTTTGATGACACCATCTACAAACTTGGACGCCATGCAAATAAGAGATAGAGCCCTCGCTGTCCGTAACAAAGCCATATCGGGTATAGAGAAAAAACAAGAAAAAGACAAAGAACGATATGATGCAAGTCATAGAATTCTAAACTATGCCCAGGGTGATCAAGTGAAAGTATTTACTCCCATCAGAAAAGTAGGAAGAAGTGAAAAACTACTTCTGAGGTGGTTTGGACCCTATTACATTAAAGAAAAAATAGGTGAATCCAACTACCGAATACAAAAAGGGTTGCACAAAAATAGTAAACAGGAAGTAGTCCATGTCAGTCGAATACTTCCTTATAATGACCCATGGACACCTGAACCGTTTCCTATCTTGGACACTACATAAACTATTATAATTTATTTATGCTAGTAGCTCCTAATAAGATATTTTGTAATTTATGTAGATTTTATAATATTAGGTATAGATTATTCCTTGCAAATGGTTATTATTTTTTTTTTGATACACAAATTATGAAAATTCCCTCTGAAATCATTTTAAAACATACATTGATAGTTTTTACAATCCATACAACCTGTAATCGTACTCCAAATAAATTGTTAATGTACTAAGATACAAAATCCCTAAAAATGGTAATTAAATTTAATATATATATATTTTTTTTTTACCAAACAAATTTACAATTTTAAGTAACACGCTAATATATTTTTAAAAAAATAGGATATTATTCGTGATTCATGTCTTCACATCATTCACCGCCATATCAAGACTTGGTAACACTCAAAAAACAGAGGTTACTGGGGGGGCGGTTTGGAGAGCCTTACCCGACGTTTCGGCTTATGAAGCATCCATACCTTTAACATATAAATCTAATTGGTATGAAGCGAGTGAGAGTGAGTCTCAGAAAAAGGAGCCACCGTGTAAATCAAATATACATTCCTGTAAAACAAAGGAATGCAGCATTATGGAGAATCTATATGAACTTCAACACGTTTATAATAAAGAGTTTAACAATCTCCAGGAAAGTTGGAGCCCCAAATATATTCGAAATATTTCACACATGCATTACCATCTAATAAGAAAAAGGGCGCTAGATTTCCTAGGAGATGGATTGGCTTGGTGTTGTGGAGTGGCCACCCAACACAAGCTAGACTCAGTAATAATGGACGAGCAACAATTAGAGCAACAGTTAACCAGACTTAACAAAATGATGTCATCAACAATAAGAGACATTACTAAAAATTCAGAAGAATTTCATAAATATGAAAACGGCGTCTCTGAGGCATTCCACCAAACTCAGTTTCATATCCAGAACTTAGAACAACAGTTTAATAACTATAAAAATACATCAAAAATATTAAATAATGAGTTCCAAAATACCGTAATAGATTTATTAGAAGTACAATATAATTTTCAGAAAAATTTAATTTTCCAAACCAGAGCTCTCAACAAACAAGCAATAATATCCTCCTGTCGACAACACCAAATACTTATCACTTTCCTACAACCAAACATACTCCATCATGATCTGTCATCCCTTACGTCCGAACTATTAAAGTTTGACCAAACACTAGCTATCCCTCTATTTGACCTTTCCAGATATTACCAGTTACCTATTTCTGACTGTACCTTCGTAAATGACAAAATTTATATAAATATTAGATTACCTTTGACACATAAAAATAACAATTGGGAACTTTACGAACTGATAACAACACCTTTTGCATGGCACAATCAAACATGTCGCATTGAACATAACACAACCTTTTTGGCAGTTACAAATGACATAGTTTCTGACAGTAGCAAAACTAGACAAATCTCAGGATTAAGTTTACAACACTGTAAACCATATGGCGACAAGTTATGTTTTCTGCCAAGATTTCGTGCTGATGCGCTACAGGGTGCAACTTGTGCTAAAAAACTGTTTAACGGTGCTACAGTGCAAGACATTAGTCATGCCTGTCCAATGCATTGTTATAAATCAGTAACGACTATAATATCAGAAATTGACGAAGACATTTACGTTATCACACATCTAAAAAATGCAACAAAAGTGCAATGTCCAAACAGAGAAAACTCACTAATGTTAACACAACCACACACCAGTCAAGGAGCAATAAAAATTAAAATACCCTGTAACTGTAAGTTAATAATTGACAACGAGGACATAATCCCTCTAGATTTCCCTGCTTTTCAAATATATCCAAAAACCTAGAAATTATACATATAATCCCAGCAGCCTGGTCAAAATTAAAATCTTTTATTTTAAACCCTAATATTAAATACAATCCTGTAACATTTCTAAATCACAGCGATTGTATAAATACCAACTGGACACTTGAAATCCCTCATCTCAATTTAACTTCAACCAAAGAAAGTGTTCAAGAGATATTATCAAATATGCAGGAACTTACCCCAACAGCTCATTATTACAGCTTTCATTCAGACAATATTTTTCTAGTATGGAACATTATTTTATCAATGGGTTTCTTATATATATTCTTCCATAACCAGAACTATTTGGCAGTAGGCCTAGCCCCTGCTCCGACACATGCCGAAGATTCAATACCAGTGATGCATCAGGTAGAATTTTCTGTCTTGTGTATAGCATTTCTTTTATTCTTGGGATACACCCTTGTAAAAATATTTCTCCATTGGCTCTCCAAACGCAAACCCCAGCAGCAACATTTCGAAGAACTCCCACGAATGGAATCTAAAAAGGAAAACTCGGATGAAACAGATGGACCAACTCTACTCACTTTTGAAATGCGAAAAGAGAACGTAGCTAGGATGTCTGCAGGGCAAAGCATGTCTTGTATTGTCAGGGCAACATTAGACGAAACAGGCTAAACAATTTTTTTTTATTCTTTCTCTTTTTTTTTTATTTTTTTTAGTAATGCCTAATTCTAGTACTGATAAATAATCTGACATAAAAAATTTTTCATTTACTTAAATAAAATCTAAAATAATGTAGGTGGTTACAGTAGTGTAAAAGTGTTGAATTTTTAATTTATAAAAAAAAAAAAAAAAAAATCCTAGGATATAGTTATCATACAATAAGTATGTCTCTAATAAGGGAGAGGAAAGGTTTAGATAATAATAATCCTAAATGAAATCTATAACCTTGCCCTGCCTTCTAATTTTAAGTTTAGTCAGATTAAAAAATATTTTTACGAAGAAAATATGTAAAATCTGCAAATCTCAGTACCTGCTATAGAAGGTACCGAGTAAATTTTATATATTTATATAAATAAAATTGAGGTACCTATTACATATAAAAATAAACTATGTACCTCAAATAATTAATATATAGCATTAGAAAATAAAAATCAAAATAACCACCTACAACTTTAAAAATATTTTGAACATAAAGTCTAAAATTGTTTAAATGAAAACAATTAAGTACTAACTAAAGGTAGTACGAAAACACTTGTCAATACATAATTTTTTATCTCCTTTATCAAAACTAAATCATATAATGTACATTAACTTTTTAAAATAAACTTTTGTATCAGGACTTATATTGTGTCCATGTTAAGAGGGAATAATCTATTATCTAAGTATAATATATTTTTATTGTAAAAAATTTTTTTGGGCTGTACTTAGATGCAGGAATTTTTTTGGGGTTAAGTGATAAAATTATTACTTTAATCTTTGTAACAAACCCTAGGTTACTAGATAATAAATAACAAGATAAATCAAATCTTAAATTATACTTACTCGTTTTGTTTTTGTTTCATATACGCATGATTGTATCACCACACACCCCGGAAAGAACATCTCTCCACTTACCACTAGAGGAAGCAAAAGTTCACTGAAGAACTATGCACAACAAATGGCACATAAGCAGGACTCTTCTGACCTAGTAACCCGGTCCTATTACACAGGTACCAGGATCCTGGATAGCAGTTAGTCACCAATTTCTTTTCAAAAAACAACAACCAGATTCACAATGGAAAAGCAGTTACAGCACTGAAACCTTCTCCAAGGAATTTCTTTTTCTTGAGAATCATCCCGAATTTAACTCTTCCTTTTAAATTGAAACTATTTTTAGTTTTTACACCCAAAACCAGTGTTGCCAGTACCCAAATTTGAAATTATACGATGGTTGGGTACAAAAGATACGCATTTTATACGAATTGCAGATATGGGTGAGATTACAGAACGTCTGCAACTTTGCATCTGCAACTTTGCAAATATGGCGGACTTACAAATGTAAGTATTCCAAAAAATATCTGCAAATTCGCAATATTTATTGTGGTTTATTACCCTCAACAACACTAAACCCAAATTTGGAATACGAAAACTTGATACTTGCATGTGTAAGTCAGTCATATTTGCAGATTTTCAAAGTTGCCGCCATATTTGCAGATCTGCAAAGTTGCAGACGTTCTGTAATCTCACCCACTTTGTAGCCACATCTTTGCATTTGAGGATATCAAATTTGTGTTGCTGCCAGGTTTGGCTTTAGGTTTGTGAGAAGGGGGACTGCCGAGAAAATAACTGTGGCAATGCAGATTCATTCAGATAGACTGGCAAAAGCCAAAAGTTGCAAAGAAAAGTGCATTTCAATAATGCGAACAATATCGGTTCGGTGAATACCCGGTTTCGGGCCTGTTTTCATTTGTCAATGTGGCTTTCTCTAAAATAAGCAGCCAGCCAGTCAGCCACTGTTTAAGGACCGATTCCACCGTTGTGTTATACAAAGTTTTAAATGACATTTTTACATTCACAATGTCATTTTAATCTCCGTTTAACACCGGTGGAATCGACCCTAACAAAAGTAGAGCAGAAGACACACTGGAAAAACTAAGTTGTCCAAATAAACTCAGAAGTGCCTAAACTTATTTCAAATAAATGGAAATCCAAAAAGATCCATAGTTTTTTCCAGAATATACGGAAATTATACGGAATTTCAAAGAGTTAGAAAAAGATACGCTGGCAAGTTAGAACATACGAAAATCGTATAATTATACGCAAATCGGCAACACTGCCCAAAACATTACCACAAAAGCATGGCAAATTTGCATGCATATTTATAATTTATTTTATCTAATTCTTCTTCTACCCACAATTCTAGTCACAGATCACCGGTATTTAGTGTCTGTGCAGCAATCCTAAAACTTCTTCCATCCCAACTGAATAGAAACACAATCAAATGGAGCATACCGAGAGGACCTGGGATGTCACATTTATTTGATTTCCAAGGATATTCATGGGAAATTAAATTATTTTTGGACAACTCTCTTCGGGACGATAAAATACTTAAGCGGTTCAGGCCGAGCCAATAAGAAAAAAGAAGAATTCTGTTCATCTCATCTATCAGTACCGAGGGACCTATTTTCAAACCGTGTGAGTACTCATTTCTCTCAAGATTCTCATCAGAAATGTCATACGTCAATGTGGAAACGCTGTTTTTAAAGGCCTCGAGGATTAAAATTCTTAGGAGGATATTAATTATCTCTAAATAAACCGTGAGAAACAATCAGTGAGTTTACACTGGCCCTTAGGACCCTAAAAATACTGTTTTACGTTGACGTATGACATTTCTCTCGAGAGAAATGAATTCTCTCGACTTTGAAAATAGCACCCCGAGAAGGGAACACCGAAACAGAATTGAGATGTGCCAGGGACGGACTTACCTTCAGTGTCCAATAGTGTGCAAATCGGTCAAACATTAATTGAGAGATGGATTTTACGAAAAAACAAGTGTGTGAGTGAGCGTAATAATAAAAAGACTTGTGTAGTAATTTATTTTTTTTGAATTTGTGAATATTTTTTTCTATTCAACTAGACAATTCATATATTTACCTATTCATTTTTAAATAATTTGTTTTTTTTTTATATATTTCTTTTGTATGTATTGTATAAACCCTTTTCTTTTACACATTTGTATGACAACATATTTGTCACTTTTAAAACCGGGGTCCGGTTTTCTTGGAGGGGAGGCATGTCACAATTATTCCTTAAATGGAATTAATTTATTTTCATTCGGCTCAGTAAATAATTTAACATCCTGTATGTTAAATTATTTCTTAATAGTAGGTCGATTTCGAAATACTTTTAAATCGTAGAGAATGCATTTCATAGTTTCATAACAATTAAGGTAAAAACTAATGAACTTTGTGCTGACTCGACGATTTTGGAAGTCTTGCGAAATCGAACCTAGTCGGATTATTTTAGGGGGTCATGGAGAGTTTTGCGAGACGGCAAAAAAGGGTGGTCGTCATCGATCACAGAAAAATAATTGTGGTTAATAAAATATAAAGCATAAAATAAATACTTATAAATATTTCTGAAAATAAAATTAAGTAAAAAATAAAAATTGTGACTGCTCCAGGACAATGAGGTAAGGACCCCAAATTTTAATATTATTATATCGATTCTTTATTATATCTTTTGCGTCTTTTGATTAACTAGTTTAGTTCTCTATACAGTAATTTAAGTCACCCGAGGTTCATCTTAAGTGGCGCATATTCCTTCTAAACCAAGAAGTTAATCTGAGCCTTTTGAGATTAACATCGGCTAGAGCGCGCTTAGCGGAAGTGGGTGATTATCTATTTTTACCTCTCAAGCCAAGCGAGGACCCCTAATCACATTAAAAAGAATTAAAAAAACCAAAAAAGGTTGACAGCTGTGTGCACGTAGTTTAGATTCAAAAGGAAAAACTTGTATTTCGTGCAAAACTTTTTTATTAATCAATGCCAAGTTTCGGCTTATTTGCCATCATCAGTGCTCATCTACAAAAATTGTGGATGTAAATTTACAATTTAAAAAGATTTTAAAAAATATATTATAAAATCTGAATTAGACTTTTAAGTCAAAAGTTAAAATAGTATATATACAATTGTTTGAACAAATTAAAAATTACAAGAAACAAACACCCCCTAACCGTTAAGCGTGACAATATACAATTTAATGTATCAGCTTAGATCAAATCCAATGTTTGATTTACTTCTTAATTAATGGTGACTCAAATTTTGTTGATGAGAGTTTCAGTCATACCTTGAACTTAACATTGAAGTGTATGAGGTACTTTTGTTCAAACTATAACTTCTTTTATTTGTTGGCAAGTTTAATACTCTTAAAGAAGGTCTCTAATCAAATAATTTAGTATATGTAGAAATTAATATACTAAAAACATTCAAACATATTATTGATTCGCCAAATTTATTAAACGCAATACCTTC